CATGCATATCTATTACAATTCCATTGACTCCACTCCCACACTATACTCCACACCCCGTGACTATATATATATTCAATCATAGTTGACATACAATATTATATAACATCAGCTTCAGGTATACAGTGCAGTGATCAAGCCTCTACCCCATCCATGAAGTGGTTTCTCCCTAACAAGACATGTGACCATCTGACAAGGGTGTTAACTCTTTGGCTAAGGATCATATAGACTTTGATGAGAAGAGTCCATTTTATGACTGGGTCAGTCTCCATTTTGAGGTTGTTTCCTGTAAAGAGGAAAAACACCTACATTATGACAATTTATAAATGCCTAAATTACTAAGGGAATGAAATATGGAAAGCCAGGATCAATGGAGCTAAGGCCCCAATTTTCTGTATCATCTGCTCTACTCTCTACTCTAGAATGGGCGTACCAGAGCTGATGTAGCATTTTTTATGGTTCCATCAGTATGTTAGAAGCATGGAGACCAATGTGAATAATAGTCAAAGTTCTTGTATTATTATAGTTCCAGCATGGTTTTTTTTTAAAAATGTATTCAGTGTGTCATTAAGAGGTGTGAAATATCATCAAATAAGGCCAGTGACAAATACGGGATTTGTTATATTCATTGATATGGCATTGATTATATCGAATAATGCATATATGCAAAACAAGATATTTAATGAGCGCTATATTGATGTGAGAATGATTCTATATACAGATTAGGAATATCAAGGCTCTTCTTGACTTTTTGTGAATAATAGGATCTTACAATTATGATTAATGAATTAATTAATTACTCAATAGACAATGTAGAAATGGCTGAAGAAAAGGAGGGACAGTATTGGATCAATGATGATTACTGGTGGCGTATGAGTCATATACAGTGATATGTGTCTGGAACTCTGAGGTCCAACAGAGAAGAAAACTAGTCCATTGCCCTATTTGACGTTATCTAGATAGATGTCATGAATATACAAGAATCTTGTGTTTGGTTTATGTTCATACGTTGTCTTTCTGTTCTTATAATTGGATCAATGAGATAATCAATCTATAAACATATAACTAAGTAAAGGTGAAGGTCATGAGACAAATGTAAAAATTTGTGTTGAGACAAGAAATGCCATTAATGTATATTGAAAACACTCCTATCCATTAGGAAATAAATGGTACAAGAGCGATACCTCTTTGACTAAGGATTTTATAGGCAGTGTTAAATAGTAGTAGGCAAGGTTCATATTCTCCTTCAGTGGCAAGATTGCTATTATTTGTTTACTTCGAAGAATCAAAGCATTGTCCCAAATGGCTAGATTCCTAAATGGCTGATTAAATGAAAGGTGGAATGCAGCGATCCGTGGAGATTAGGTGTCAGCCTGTTCTCATCATCTGCTCTGCTCTGTGCTCCTCAGAATGCATGTGCTCGAGCTGATCTGCGGATTCTTCTATGATCACGAGCTCCATGGCTGCGTCTTTGTGTTAGAGCATGGCGGCCAATGTGAGTAATATCAATGTTCTTGCTCCGTTTGGGTGGTTTGTTTAAGGATATTCCCTTTACTATTAAAAAGTGCGAAATATAATCAGTGAATGTCAACCATGGCCCCAAAATGCAATTAATATGAAATGTTAAGTTCATTAATATATGAAATATTGAGGTCAATTAATGGAAGGGATGGATTGCTGAGGGAGATAATTCTGTAGACAGATGTTAGAGATTAGTCCAAGCCAACTGTGGACTAGTGGTAAAGAGGTCAAATATTGGGTTGCCGGAAAAGTCATGGAATATTTTTTCTATGTATTTTGTTGCAAAAATGCATCATGACTTTTCCGACAACGCAATATATGGTGATGGAAGGAGAATTGACTTTGGGTGGTGAACATACAATGTGATATACAGATGATGTGTTAAAGGATTGTATACTGGAAACCTATATAATTTTACTAACCAATGTCACCCCAATAAATTTAATTAAAAAATTAAATTAATAAAATGAAGCAAGTAGACTACTATATACATTCAACATTGAGGTTATTAGCAAAAGAGATCTAACTATTCATTTTTTAGAAAATGATTCTATATATAGATGTTTAGGGATATTAAAGTTACTTTAAAAAGTTCATTGGTATATATTTATTTTTAGTGAATTAATGATTTATCTCTAAGCAAAATTATAATCAAATGAAGAACAAGAAGGTGAAGTCTGAATCAATACTGAGGACTGGTGGTTTATGAGTCAAGGATGAATAATGCTTATCGAGAATTGTGAGTTTCAATAAAAAAAGAAGCCTTACCTGTTGTTGCTGACACAAATGATCCTGTGAACAGATGTTAGAGATACCCAAAGATCTTATTATTGGGCTTTTGATTTTCATGGATACTGATTGCTTATGTAAAGTTGATGCAATAATAACTACATAAATATATGAATAAATGAAGGAAAAGTAGAGCCGAATGTGGAAGAACTATAGCATATATAATGGAACAAACATCATTACCAAGTCATTTCTAAGGACTATGTAAGGGCTTTTATACCTAAGCACAAGGGACATTGGGACAGATGTATGTAATTGTCTATGCTCATGTTCTGTGCTGTGTTTGGGTAACAGGTGTTTTTTTTTAAATTAATAAATACAAAAAAAATTATATAATTTACCCAACTAACTATATTAAAGAGGGCCGAGCATGACAAAAATGTGTCATATGATAGTTATGATCAATCTTATTGGCCTCACTGTGCTCCATGGGTAATCACTCCCCAGTGTAAGTAAAATTGTCACGCTGTACACCTTAAATACGTACAACTATATTTGTCAATTATTCCTCAATAAGGTTGGGAAGAAAGTATACAGTAAAACCTTAGATTGTGAGTAACTTGGTTTGCGAATGTTCCGTAAGACAAGCAAACATTCTGATACATTTTAACATGGTAAACGAGCGATGTCTTGCAATATGAGTAGGTTGTTTCTGGAACGAATTATGCTCGCAATCCAAGGTATTACTGTATAGTTCTTTGATACTTATGATAGTGAGCAACTGGACATAGTTACCATTTATCAGTGTTATTGTCTTTAGTTTGTATACAAAGATACTGATTTTATCATAATGAATGAATAAATTAATAATTCAATAAGATAAGAGGGTTCAAAGCACATATGTGTTGAAACATCATTCATCAATTCTACTCATGGCTTGTCCCTCTTAAGAAACAAATCTTAGCTCTCAGCAGTTTGGATAAGTGGAATTAGACAGATATACACAATAGCATTCCTCTTCGGGGTTTCTGGGAGGTAAACGTTTTTCATTTTGTTTAAAAAATGAATAGTTTATTAAATTATTTCATGAGCTGAAGAATGAATGAATGAACATTAAAGCGGTGAATAAATAGATACATACAACATAAAATCACAGAAGAGCAAGTATGGCTCTGTAACGGAGATATGGTACATAGCACAGTTTAAGAAGTAATGCATTTCAATGCAATTTTTAAAAAGCTTGAGGATTTCACATTCACTTTCACAGCTACTTATTATTCTATATCAGGTTTGTACCGCAGTTTATGAACATTCCTCCGAGGAAAGGATCTAAGCTGTTAATTCAATGAACGACCCACAGGAAGGGGGATAATAATTTATTGATAGTCTTAGGATGCTGAGTGGATAGTGAGTTCATGGCTGCTCTGCTATTATCTTTAAAGAATGTACAAGTTCAATGATACAGAATCAAACAAGGACCCATGAAGGGAATGGAATGCATTCCGAGCGCGTCTTGTGATGAATTCATTTCTGCATTACTGAAGTCCATTTGAAAGGGAGATGTGGTATATTCACCTGTGGGACTAAGCCCAGAGCTAGATTTCAGAAGTTTTCAAGAATCTAATTATGGGGTCTAAGTGGATTCTGGGGATTATTCTAAGGGAACAAATGAAAGAATCAGTGGATAGATTAGATGAATAGATAGATGGTAGGTAGATCGGTCGATGACAGGTAGCTAGGTAGGTAGATAGATGATATGTAGGTAGGTAGATGAAAGAAAATAAAGTTGGGATTAATTAACAGAAGATGTGAGACAGACATTTTTGTTCATATGGTTCTGAAATGCTGCAGTATATTATGTGTTATAAAATTGTACACCTGAAACTTACATAATGTTATTAACCAGTGTTACCTCAAAGTAATTTAAAAAGGAAGAAACCTATAGCTCAAGGGTGTTACCTCTCTGGATTAGGATAATAGAGCAGTGGTCCTCAAACCTGAGTGAATGTCATAATTACCTGGAGGACTGTGACAATACAGACCTCTGGCCGTACCCGTGGCATTCCCAGCATTTCGGATTGGGTTGGTTTGGCGTGGGGCCCCAGAATCTCTGTTTCTAATACGGTTCCATTTGCTGATGCAGTGTAGCGGGAAATGACGTTTTGAGAAGCACGGGTAAAGCCAGATATACTCGTATGTAATAATAGTTAATGCCCTTGCTCTGGATCAGCTGTGAGATCCAGCTTGTTTATTTTTAATGAGAAAAACAAGGTACCAAATACATTCATTAATAAATATCTATAAGTCTAAGTAAATAAAAGGGGAGAGGCATTGTTGAATGGAGAAGATGTCTCATTCTTTTAGCATTGTATTTATACTCCTCAAAATGGAGCCACCTGAACCAATAAAGCATTCTGAAGAGACCAAAGTATCTAGGCGACCTCTGCACTAAGGAATATATATATATATATATATATATATATATATATATTAAAGGAGTGCGTGGTTAGACACATGGACAAAATCAAACAAGGACAGGCCTATGCTAGTGAGTTTATGATTGACTTAGTACTGCTTAGGATGGTTTTTAAGACAGACTGAAACCATGTCACTCATTTTTATAGCTCTTTAAATTTCAATTTTAGGTTTCCCCTAAACATTCCTTCATTGATAAAAATGTACGCTATTTTCGTTATGAGGAAGGAGCCTACAGGAGATGTAAGTACTAGTCGTCGTTTTAGTTCTGATGGTGGGTTCATTCTACATATGGAAAGAATATACAAATTATATGAAAAAGGGCAACCGTGGACCGGTGATGTGAGTGGAATGCATTCTGAACTACATTCTATGATCAGAGCCTCTATGACTTACTGAGGTCCATTGCAACAGGGATTTAGGTGTTTACATTTATGAGAATGAGACTAGACAGATTTCAGTAATATTTAAGGATCACATTTCAGCCTTTGGTACTTGATGGAGTTTGATTTTATCATAAGTGAATAAATGAAAGAATAAACAAATATGGCAGTGTAAAAGATGAAAAAGGGGGAGGCATAGCCAACTATGAAAATATGTGGTGAGACAAGTATTATTATTAATATAACTTGGAACCACTGGAGTTCATTAAGCAACAAATGGACCAAGGGGGTTACATTTTTGGGTAAGATGGCTATAGATGGTGATATATGGTAGCCTGCATTCTTGCTTTGAGTATACTGTGAGTTCCCAGTGGTTCATTTATTAGAGAAAATGAAATAAATACCTAAATGACTAAGAAAATGAAATGAGAAAAGCATGTGTTTATGGCAAGCAACAAAGGAACAAGACAAACAAAACAAATAAAAATTCACAGACATAGACAACAGTTTAGTGGCTACCAGAGGTTAAGAGAGGAGAGGGGGGTGGTAGAAGAGGGAAAAGAGGGTCAAATACATAGTGATGGAAGGAGAACTGACTCTGGGTGGTGAACACACAATGTGATATATAGATAAGATGATGTATTATAGAATTGTACACTTGAAAACTATATAATTTTACTAATCAATGTCACCCCAATAAATTTAATAAAGATTAATAAAAAGAAAAAATTTGTCATGCTTTCTCTGTATATGGAAAGAGACTAAGGTGAATTTTGGTCACAGTTGTTGTCTTGGAGTGGGGCATTTGTTTAAGGGCACTCATGGTGTTATTAAAAAGTATTAAATTAATGAAAAAGCTAACCATGTGCCAATGTTAATATAAAAAACATTGTGCTGATTAATCAATAATATGCAGGATTGAGGTTGATTCACGGAGGCAGCATAGTCTACTTGGGAAATGACTCTGTAGCCGATGTTAGGGCCTCTTCTTAAGTTTTTGTGGGCCATGTATTGTATTGTTATTATTAACAAATTAATGTTTTAATCAATACAAATATTAAATGAATGAATAAAGGAGACTCGTTTATGGACTAGTGGTGAAAACTGGTGGCATAGGAGTCATGGACCATGAGTGTGTGTCTGAAACTCTGAGATCCAACACAGAAAATATTGGGTTGTCGGAAAAGTCATGGCGTAGTTTTTCTGTTTTTCGTTGCAAATGTGTGTCATGACATTTCCGACAACCCAATAATTTGGTCCACTTTCTCTGTTGAAATTGTTTCTGTAGAAAGATGTCGAGAATATAAAAAGATTATACTCTTGTACTGGTTTCATAGACATAGATTTGTTGTTATTAACAGATCAATGATAGAACCACTAAGCAAATATAAAGAAATATATAAGGAAGACTAGGGTGGAGCATTGTCCAAATACAAACATAGATGGTGAGGCAAAGGATATTGTTAATCCTATCAGTGCTAATAACACTGATGCCCATTAAGCAATAAATAGATCAGTGTCACCTCTTTGACCAAGGTCATGTAGACAGTCATAAGTAAGAGTCAATTTAATTGTCTGCCTCTCATTAAAGAGTTTTCCTTTTAGTAAGATAAACAAAAATATATTAAAAAATCCAAATACCTAAATACTAACAAATGAAACATGGAAAGCAATATCAATGCAGATGAGGTCTCAGTTTTTAAGTCATGTGCTCTGCTCTTTACTCTTCAGAATGGTAGCACTCGAGATGATTTTGCGTCTTGCCTGGGCATGAGCTCTGGTTGCATGGAGATTAATGTGAGTGATAGTTGAAGTTCTTTTCTTGATTTAAGTGTTTTTTTTTTTAAAGCTAATTCACTGTCTTATTAAAAAGTATGAAATATAATTGAAGCGAGCAACTGTGTCTCAGTATTAAATATGGGTTATTTGAAGTATTGTATAGATTAACCAATATATGAAAAACTGAGGGTATTAATGAGAGATATATTAATGTGAGAATAATTCTCTACCTACATTTGGAGCATGAAGGCTCTTTTTTTTAACTGTACTAAATAATTATTAGTGAGTCAGTGATTTAATCAATAAATAAATTGAAATGAATGAAGACAAAGAGGGACAATAATGGATCAATGATGACTCCTGGTGGCGTATGAGTCCTATACGATGAATACGTGTCTGGAACTCTGAGGTCCAAGAGAAAATTAATGTAGTCCCTTCCTATTGTTTGAAGGGATTCTATAGACAGAGTTCAGAAATAAATGAGGGGCTTATTTTTAGTCTTTTGTTACATGCATTTTCATCCCATTATAATGGGATAAATGACAGAACATAAGTAAATATATAAATAAATGAAGCCGAATGGAGTAAAGCATTGTACAATTATAAAAATATGTGGTGAGGTGAGAAATATTATTTCTGTGTTATGAAAGCCCTCAGGTTCATTTAGAAATGAGTGGTACCTGACTGTTGCCTCTTCAGGTACCCATGACAAAGTCAGGAGAAGTCTGAGACAATGGACATATTCTCTCTCAGTGACCAGATAGATCACAGTTGTTCGTTTCCTTAATAGACTAAATATATACACACCAAATGAATGACTGCCTCAAAAACAATGTAAATGTTGAGAGGGGAATCAATGGAGAGAATGTCTCAACCATTTTTACCACCTGCTTTGCTTTGTACTCCTCAGGATGGATGTACTGGACCTGATTGAAGGACTCTTCCATGATCACCAGCTGTAGTTTGCAGCTCTGATTTAGGCTGGAGACCCACCAGTGTGAGCATAATCAAATCTCTTGTCTTGGTTTGGGTGGTTTCTTGAAGGGCACTCACTCTATTGGTAAAAATCTTGAAATATAATCACAGAAGGCCATCCTTATCTTGTCAGTAAATAAGAGATTAATATGAAACATTATATTGGTTAATGTGTATATGAAAAACATAATAAATGTGACAGATAATAAGGTGAGATTGTTTCTGGGGACATATTATTAATATCAAGTCCTCGTTGGGTTTTCTGAATCAAGAGCTTTAAAATTGTAATGATTGAATTAATGATGAAGTAATAAATAATATAGAAATGAATGAAAAGAAAGTGGTCTTTTCTGGATCAGTGATGATAACTGCCAGTGTATGACTCATGGGTGACCAATAATATGTGTCTGGAACTTTGAGATACAACACAAAAGAAATGTGGTCTTTTTCTTCACACATTTTTATTCGATTATTATAATCGAACCAAACCCATGAAACAATCAATAAACAAATTATGGATCAATGGAGAGAAAGTCTCAATTGTTTTATCACCTGTTCCGTTTGGTACTTTTCAGAATAAAAGCTGACAGTGATTTCAGCGTCTGCTGCAGTCCAGGTTACCATGGTTCCCCGTGGTTGTAGGAAAGGGATCAAGGTGAGTCAAGGTCAAAGTTCTTGTCTGGGTGTGGGTTGTTTTTTAAGAGTTTTCATGTATTATTGAAAAGTAATATATATAATAAAAACATGAATTAGGGTTCAATGATAAATATGATATGAAATAGTATGTTGATTAATCGATAATATATAACATTGATATTTATTAATGAAAGAGATGTAGTCGAGTTTGTCAGTGATTCTTTAAAAAGTAAAGGATATTCAAGTGTCTTGTTCTTTAGTTTGTGTTAATCATATATTTATTTCACAGTGACCTTGAAGTACTGATTTAATTGATACAAATATATAAATGGGGAATAAATAGTAAATGTCTGGAACCTTGAGGTCCATTACAACACATACTCTATTTTCTCTGTTTATTTGATCCAATGGATAGATGTTTAGAATGCATAACGATCATGTTCTCATTTTGGATTAATAGATTTAGATTTATTATTATTATTAACGGATCAATGATAGACCCATTAAATAAATGTAAATTATATTTTAAGAATAAAAGATGAATTATTTATTATCTAACTATGAACACATGTGGTAAGGCAAGAAGTGTTAATAAAAATTGTAGGGCCGGCCGAGTGGCGC